TGAGGGTCCATGGGGGTCCTGACCACTGAAGAACAGGGTAAAAGGGGGCTAACAAAGTATCAGAGAAACAGATGGACTACAGTCTGTAACTGTAGAACTACAAAGTGCACCTATATAGTAAGTGGAGCTGATAAAATGGACAATGAGTTTAGAAACAAGGAGGTGGTCATGTTATGCCTGATTGATGTATGTATCTGAGATGTTATTTAATAAAACATGCAAGCGTTTGTGTATTGTTTTAATTTTAAAAAACCATCAGAAATCTACCCTACTGAAAAATAACGATTAGAACCATTAGGATTAAAACTTAATGATTTCGCTTCCGAACGGAAACTGGCTTAATGGTTATGAATACAGACCCCTAGTTTTCTATACAACACCTTTAAAGCCTAGTAGAAAGCCATCAAATGCGTCTGGAATCAGTCTCAGGTCACCTCTTAAACCATTAGGATCCTTTACATTGTGATATCAACCCATCAAGAAAAGCCAAACCACATTACAAAACCACCAGAAACCAACAGAAGCACTTAATACTTTCTATGGGCTTTTTTCAGCAGTAAAGCCTTTGGGCATGAACTGTTTATTCCATGGTAAAGACACACTGCAGAGAACGGATTTTACATAATAAAACATTCAAGTCATCATTTAGTCCAAACTGAAGCATAAACCCAGCTATTAGCTGTGTGTTGTGAAAGCCTTCTGTGATATGCTTTAGAATGCAGACAGCTTTGTGCTTCTGAATGTGGAGCAGATTTAGAGAAAAACAATTTCAAGAATAGCGTCGCCCAGTAAAACAGGCACTGCTTATGTTGATGTTATCTTTAGTTCAAAGAAAATAGACATCTGAGATTCCAATTGAATTCTAATAGGCCTTTCATTGATGTATAACATGATGTGGTTCAGAGGTCGCCGTCTTCATTGGAAAGTACCTTTGGAAAGTACAGTTAGACTTAGTGGACAAAACATGTTAAACATTTATGTTGAGTTTTGATTAAAGTTTGAATGATGAGTTGAAAAGAAATCTGAAAAATGTTTAAAAAGTGTCTTGCCTTAAGTGTGGACCTCACTAATTGCGTTTACATGTCCGTTAACTACAGAAAATCAGATTTTGTCAGTAATCTGATCAACGCGTTTACATGCACTTCAGTAATCAGATAATGTGAAACTCCAGGTCTACATGAGTCAGACAGATTTCTAAGAGTTCACGTGCCCTTAGAAATCTGATTACTGAGCTAAAATCCAGCTCTCCTTATCAGATTTCTTAATCAGATTTCTAGATCGGAGTATGGTGTTTACATGACTAAACAATCGGATAACTGCAGAAATCTGATCAGATTATTGAGTGCATGTAAACACCTCACTATTTCAAACCTATAGCTTATAGTTTAAGCATCTGTAAACACATTTGTTATAATGCATTCATAAGGTATTATAAACATGGTATCTATAAAAATGAATTACACTGAATTACTCTTTATAGCATGTTTATTATACATTATGAATTGTTAATATAATGCATTAGAAGTCGTGTTAATATCGTTATACTGTCAGTGCCAGCTTGGAGGGTGTAAAGTAAAGACAAAAACAAAGTTTATTTACAGGATTTCAATATTTTATTTCTCACCGCTGGTGCTGTTAGGGCTGCATCTTCGGGGCTTCAGTCCTGAATATTCAGATGCTCCAAACCAGCTGTCCAGCCTAGAATTATTGCTATAATGTGCTTTTCTTACCCAGCGCTCTCACTTTAAATGTTACATTACATCACAGCAAACCAAGTACCCATCAGCCCCTCCCCTGAACCCTCTCTGACATCACACTGAGCGTGAAGTTGCTGTGGAGTGAAGGCCTGGAGAGGGAGAGGCGAGATAGTAGAGCGCTGTCATTGTAATTTGTTCCCTCACTGGTTCTAATGTCAAGCGCTAGAACCCTTCACTCTGTAGCATCACTACACTACAGTACAGTAATGCTAATTTCTGCTGGCATTCTATTGGATATGCAGTGTTAAGTTAGTGCCAAGCTAACGGTGGTGTACATTACATTTCCCACATTGGGTAAAACACTGATGGCAGCTCTAGTTTAAACTCTGACGTTTGAAGCCTGTAATGAGCTTTACTGTGAATGTTTTAGTGTTTCAGTAAATCCTTCAGTAAATACTTCAACTTGAAGCGTCACTCTGAACACTGGAGGAGGCTTTAGTACAGTACGCTTCACTTTACTTAGAGCGGATAAATACGACTTATGAGCTCTTATAATTTATGAACAGTACTTATAATGCATTATGTTAACAATTCATAATGCATAATAAGCATGGCTATAATGTGTAATGCATTTTTATAAATATTTATAGTCATGTTTATGATGCCTTATGAATGCATTATAACATGTTATGAATGTGTTTATAGATGCTTATAAACATGACATTCATAGAAAGTGTTACCAAAAACGTTGCATTGCAGAGTTTGCATGGCTAGCTGATCAGCTCACTAATGCCTTCACAAGTGACCACACACGAGGCTCACATACTTACACAACCTCTTACCTGGAGAGGTCCGTGACTTGCTTGAAGGGAAAATATTCCACTGTCTGAGGGAAATAAACACAAGACACGTCCATCACGTGCCACAGTGGAGGTAAAGGAGTTCATGATGTGGTTCTTTCTGCACTAATTCATGCAGGAAAAAAGAAAGAAAACTATTTTTAACACCGGCCCCTGCTCTTACACAGCAGGGCCCTACCCTGCCTCCCTCTCTTTCCTGGCTCCATACAGGACACGAGTGGCCTTTGCCGGTACTGAGAAGAAAGCTTCCACAAATATACCCTCAGAGGCTGCTCCAAACCTGACCGCTGCAGCGGTGAGCAGCAGCTTCGGTCACTGTTCGCAGATTTTGCTATTTCTTGCCTCACTCCCTGAAAGTTGTCTTGCACTCTCGTTGGCTCATCGCTGCTCCTACTGTTTGTCTGTTTTAGTAGAGTTCACATAACAAGATTCATTGCCGAGAATTTCAAGCATGCATGAAAATATCTGGGCATGTGCGAGAGGCTGCGAGAGGCTGCGAGAGCTCGCAGGCTGAGAAATTTGCGTCGCTGAATCATTTACGCTACATGAGTGGGTGCAGCGGTTTGTCGTCAAGCCGGGTGGTTTGTCACTGATCCCACAAAAATCATCTGCGACTGGAAAATCGGGGCTAAAAGCGTCCACTGCACACTCATTTCCGGGCGGTTAGTAAAAGAGGACATGCTTTAAATTAGAATAAAATAAATAAATAAATATATGAAATTTGAGAGCCGGCTCACTTTTTTTTTCCTTCGGTAAATTAAGACAAAACTAATTGGTAGATTTTTATGATACTGTATTTGAACATCACGGGGCAGCCACCTGTTTTTTTTCTTGGACATTTCAGCTCCGCCCCCTCATTATCAGCAACACCTGTTTCTTGTTGTTAGTTTGGTTTTGGTTTTGTTTTTGGCATTTTTCAGGCAATTCTTCACTTTGTTGATATCAGGTTGCTTGTCTGACTGTTTTGTGACCCCGTGCTTTTCGAAAGTCTTCTTATCAAACCAGTTTAACTGGTTGGTGGGAACTCCACCAATTTTTCAAAATTGTTGCATTAGGTAGTTAAGATGTAAACAGTCCTTCAGAGTGGTCAGAATTGTTCACAGTGGAACTAGATGCCCACCTCTAAAAGCTCTCTCACAGAAAGTTATTATGTTACATGAAATGGTTATGAATAGTCATATCAGAGACATTAGTTTTCTGGTTTTTGGCATTATTTTTCTAAAGGCTTTGGCCTATAGTGGAGGAATATGTGAAGAACAGTCCCCAAAGAAAACTTATTTTTGACTGTTTTACCCTCGTTGACATTACATATAAAGCTTAGACACGTGTAGGTTCACTGGAAGCTTTTGATCGTTAATAAAATGTCTATATTTGTGTTGTAGTCATGGCAACCCTTTGTTCCTATCACCACCACTGTAAAGAAAAGTTTCTCTACAATCAACCATTTCACACCAAACCACTCTGAATAACTGTATTAACATCAAGCCACTGAATCATGCACACATTTTGAAAAATCAGTTAGCATCATGACATGATCTTGACATACTTGATATATTACATTTTTAAAAAAAATGATAAACATATACACCGGTCAGGCATAACATTATGACCACCTCCTTGTTTCTACGCTCATTGTCCATTTTATCAGCTCCACTTACTATATAGGTGCACTTTGTAGTTCTACAGTTACAGACTGTAGTCCATCTGTTTCTCTGCATACTTTGTTAGCTCCCTTTTACCCTGTTCTTCAGTGGTCAGGACCCCCATGGACTCTCACAGAGCAGGTACTATTTGGGTGGTGCATCATTCTCAGCACTGCAGTAACACTGACATGGTGGTGGTGCGTTAGTGTGTGTTGTGCTGGTACGAGTGGATCAGACACAGCAGTGCTGCTGGAGTTTTAAACCACTCACTGTCCACTCTATTAGACCCCCCTACTTTGTCGATCCACCACCCAAACACTACCTGCTCTGTGAGGGTTCATGGGGGTCCTGACCACTGAAGAACAGGGTAAAAGGGGGCTAACAAAGTATCAGAGAAACAGATGGACTACAGTCTGTAACTGTAGAACTACAAAGTGCACCTATATAGTAAGTGGAGCTGATAAAATGGACAATGAGTGTAGAAACAAGGAGGTGGTCATAATGTTATGTCTGATCGGCGTATATTATCTGTTGATGGATACTACTGAATGCTGAGGAAGAGCCATTTGGGAGCTGAAACTGCCGGGGAGCTGTACTGATTGATCTGACCTCCTAAAAAGAGCCAGAATGCCCATCACTGAATGAAACAGGCCAGGATGTGTTAGAAATCACATAAGCAAGTCTTTCTGAAATTATCTTGACAGCCTGATGTGGTTTGAGGAAAGTGTGTAATGATTTCGCCAAGTGAAGACCTTCACTTATACAACCCTCCTTTATCTTTATCCCTGTGTGCCTTACAGCTCTACGTGAAGCTGCATTGTGAGGACCCTCCTATGTTGGAACACACTGAGCAGCTGCTGGGAGAACTCGGAGGAGAGCTGGTAGCTGACGACGACGACGACGAAGCCGGACCCTCTGTAGACGACATCGGAGACGACTTCATCCAAAGCAGCGAGGATGAGGAGGAAGACGAAGCCATGGAGCACTGAATGCACCCATCTGTACCTGCTTCCTGTTTTTTTTCTTTTCAACCTTCATTGCTTTGTTTTTCAGTTCAAATTACAGAGCCTGTTTTGTCTACAACAATAAGAAGGAATACAAGGATTACAAGTCCATTTGTCAGATGACCACACTGCCATTATTTCAGAACAGACAACAAAGTTAAACCCCATTTCGGCATCCAATCATCAACCCATCACTCTCTCTCTCTCTCTCTCTCTCTTAGTATCAACCAGTATCCATTTTCTTAATAAGTTTGTTTTGTCTGCTATAACAAGTGCCTTTTATCCTTCGTACTAGAACCCAAAGTGTGTATGTTGCCTCGTGTCACCGTGACAACAGTCCGCTGCCGAAAGAACTTGAGTGTTTATATTACACTCACTCCAGACCTTTGAGCCTTTCAATTACCACCCCCCCCTCCTCCACCCTCCTGTGTATTTTATAATCATATTATAAATATGATCGCTGTGGGCTGTATGTAATAAGAAGAAAATGTCATTAGGGATTAAAAATGACTTTTAAGTCAAATGCCAGCCTCGTCTTCTTCCTCTCTGCAGCGCGCATGAAGTTAATAACAGCAGCTCCATATGCTAATAAGTCATATGCTAATATCTGATGAAAACTGATGCTGATGAATCCCTGTTCTTGGGTTTTTTTTATAGATAGATAGCAAGTAAAAGATGTTGTACAGTGTGTTGATTAGTACTTTCCAATGCTGGCATTTAAAGACTGTGGTGCTCTGATGCACTGATTTAATTTACTCGCAAATTACTGAGCCCTTCATAACTAGAATAGAGGGAAACGAGAAAGTGCACGGGGGCCGTCCCAGGGCCAGGATCAAAAAGAGCAGTATTACGAACCTCTACTCTGAAAACATTGGGGCGGTTTGTGAAATGCTAATAAAAACAGAAAGCAGTGGTTAGTAAATCGTGTTTGACTTGATTTGAATTGAAAACAGTACAGATTTTTGATGTTTCACCTTAGGAAATAAATGTTTTTTTTCTCAGTATACACTAGTTCCAAATTTGCTTTCTGCATGTTCCAAACATTTGGACAAGAGCATATTTACCACTGTGTAACATCACTTTTCCTTTCAAACAGGACTTAGTAATCGTTTGGGAACTGAGAACAGCAAATGATCCAGTTTTATCACTCCACTAATGCTATACAAACTCTTCAGCTGCACAGCTGCACTGGCCTGTATTTTGATGCACCAAACATCACTGGGAGACAGGTCTGGACTGCAGGCTGGTCAGTCTAGCACCCTCACTCTCTGAGTGCTTTTATAACACATGCAGAATGTGACCTGGTGACTTAACACCTTGATGTCGGAGGCAGCGTATCGCTGTTGCCAGACCCAACCCCGTATCTCCAAAATGGTAACTTTACAGCAGAAGACAAAAACAGTCTTTGCTTTTTAATGTAAGTCAATGGAACCAGACATTTTTCCAAGTCATTTTGGATCTTTTTTTTGGTTCATTCATCTTGAAATTTACACACAGGCATTTTCAAATTATGTCAAAAACTGAAAAAACAAAAATGAGATAAAAGGTTTTGGTCTGCAGCGAAATGTTGCTTAAAAGTGTGTATATTTAAGCATTAATGATGCCTTCACTGATGTACAAGTTAATGCCATGAGCAGTAATACACCCCGAAACCATGACAGACCCTGACTTTTGGACTTTACGCTGGTAACAGTCTGAATGGTTCTTTTCTTATTAATAAGCATGCCAGTTTTTAAGGCATTGCCATGTGAGGGATCGAAGGTCACAGGCATTCGGTTGTTGTTTTCGGCTCTGACATTCACACAGAGCTTTAGAAAGATCTGAATCTTTTGATAATGTTCTGACCTGTAGAGGGAGCAATACCTAAAATTGTTGATGCTGTGTGAGAAACATTGTTTATAAACTGTTGGATTATTCGCTGGTGCATTTTCAGCAAAGTGATGAGCTTCGACCCATCCTTGCTCATAAAAGACCAGGCCCTTCCGAGACCCTCCATTTATACCCAAACATGATTGCATCACCCATTAAATACGGTTTTTGAACACTTCACAGCGTTCCTTGTCTCAAATTACCCTGTTCCAACTTTTTGTAGCAGGTATCAATTTTAGAATGAGCTTATATTCACGAAAAAATGATCGTGTTAATAAGATAAAATGTTAAATACCTTATGTTTGTACTGTTTTCGCTTGAATACAGGTCAGAGTGGATTTACACATCACTGCTGTCTAGTATTTGCATTACTGTCCCATCCAACATCATTTTTTAGATAAAAAAAATAACAAATTATGAGTTAATATTTCAAGTAATAGACAAAATGTAATCAGAATTTCCATAACAATGTCACTCCTAATTGTGTCTTTGAAAGCCGCTAGGCTGGATCTTTAGCGAAGAAAGTTAAATTGGCCTAGTTTGCCAAATCCAATAAATGATAGTGTTAAAAACTTTTGACTCTTAAGTGTATTTGAGTTTTTTTACACTCATCAATCTTGTCATAAAAATAAATGTTTACTTTTTCATTGTACTATATCTTTATGTTGCAGTATACTTTACTATAACCTCTATAAAAATGACCAAATATTCAGTATTTCACATAAAATCTCTAAATTCAGTTGGGTTTTCCATTACAAAAGTAACACACCTCCTTACACTCTTTGTGCCATCAAGCGTCCTTTGGAGCAATGCTGTAAAATTAAATCCACCAGCCCTGCTCCTCATGAGCTTACTTCCTGCAGGTTCCACCTCCAACCTAAATTTAACGCACCTCGTTCACCTATTCAGTCACTTCTGAAGGCAGTAATTAGATGGGTCAGGCTCCAACAGGGTTTGAGCTAAACTCTGCAGAAAGGTGGATCTCCAGAAACAGGGTTGGTGACCACTGCCATACAAGAACCACAAATGTTCCAAGAACCTTTCAGTGGATGGCTCTTTCAAGAATTTTTGTAAATGAGATGCAGTTGTGAAGAACCACACAACGTAAATGTTCTATACCAACCAAATGTTATCCCTACAACCGCATGTTGAAGCTAACATCCATTTAGGAAACCTTAAGGTGGTACATATGGTGTCGTTGAGAGCCTTGAGGCTGAAGCTTCAGATCAAGATCCTGTAGATTCCTCCTACACAACATCAGGAGAATACAACCCGCTCTGACTGCAGAGGCTGCTCAGGTTCAAGCTCTAGTTGTCTCCTGAGTTGACTAGTGCAATTCCCCATAGTTCTTCCATGCCAGTGCTCTGCTGAGATCACTCCACTCCTGTGTAAGCAAGTATTAAATACAAAGCTCTGGTTCTCATGTTCCAGGCTTCAAAGATCATGGTCCAGAACCACTTACCTGCATGTCAGCTTAGATCTTTGACATCTGGACTTTCTGAAAATCTAAACATGGAGGCTCGATCTTGCTGCTTTAGTGTCCTTGCTTCTCAGTGGTGGAACAGACTTCCACCTGAACTCCATCACTTCCTTCCAGTACGGTCTGAAGACTCACCTCTTCAGGGGGATCTAGGCTAAAACCTTGTTGCATTAATTCACACTTCATTTCCTATTTACTGTGTCCTTTCTCTTCAAATCTCTGCATCTCACCTCTATGTTTTATTACTTTACTCAAATTTAACTACAGCAAGCTTTGGTTTGGCTGTCTTAGGTTATTGCAGGTACTTCGCATTGCATTGGCTTCTACTGTTTGCATGTTCTGAAAGTCGCTCTGGTTAAGAGCATCTGAAAAATGACTAAATGTGAATGAAAATCTTTAGGCAACCTGAAGTATTTCTTCTATGACCTTGCCCCAACTTTTCAGCCCTTTTTTTATTTCTAAGAGTAGACCTGAATCTTAACCAGCCACACCCTGAAAGACACATCATGCAAGATACAATGCTTCATCCAGTCCCTCCTCGGCTGCTGTGCTGTCTAGACTTTCTGAGTTTGAGCGTTGCTGATAGACCACCTTTTTATAACTACCTTTTCTGAGGCTACGCTCTACTTGACCATGGGAAGCGAAAGCCAAAAAGGGAGAAATAATGGTAAAAAAGCATCAGGGGGCCCGTCGGCTTCGGCAGACGGAGAATTCCTGCAGAAAGTCAATTATTGCGGTATTATCACCCTCATTATCATTCTCCAGGCTGAGCTTTCTCAAGGCCTGAATTCCTCCGGCCTCTTCGCACTTATTATTCCCCTGCGGATGACGGCTATTACTGAGGCCAGACAATATGACGTGTGCTCCGTCTACAGCTTCCGCTGTTTACAACCTTTAGAAGTCGTCCGCTTCGAGAGATTGGCAGCGCATTTTTAAACACCTGGATTGGTTTAGGACGCTTGATTAGCAGGAGCTGAGGAGACTGTGTGTGCTTGCGGTCCTTTTGTGTTGGGAAGCATCCCTGCCATTGCTGCAGATAAATGCCCATAGGGAAGATGCTTTCATGTTGAGGTAGAGGGCTATGTGTGTGTGGGAGCAGGAGAGAGAGAAAGAGACAAAGCAGAACAAGAGCGTGTTTTTGATAAACATTTATTCTGAACAACGTCAAGGTCGGCACGCCATGCGCAGGGGGCAATGTGTTCTCATAATTCACCGGCGTATAAAAACATTCCCATAAGACTAATGACCGTGCCTGTGCGCCGGCCGCAGATTGAATGAAATGACCTTTTATCGTGATTCTTAGGCGATAAGGCCATAATGGGGAAAGCTGAGCGTCGGCTAAATAAAGCATGGCGAGGCCAGGGTATCCGGCTGTAGAGGAGTGGGCAGAAGTGACAGCAGAAGAGTTCTACCCATAGATATACATACCTAGATGCTGCATTGGGTCCAGACAGGCACGTTTTGGGGCGGTCAACATCGCTGCTGGACTGCATTCAGTGCCATTACAGAGCGGCAGTTTGAGAAAGATACTGTCCAAAATTACACTATTTCAAGAATATTACACTCAGAAAGTGAGATAGGATTATATAACGGAGGGAACGCAGTGATCCACACTCATGTTTGTGTGATGTGTATTGTTTGTGTGATGTTTATGTAGATAAGGCCGTGT